TATATTGTAAATTTTGTTTGAACGTTCGGTTTGACCTACATATATATACATTTATATACACGTTTATATTGCCAGGCATATGATTAATGAAGAGATTGTGATATCCTTCAAATAAGTGTTTTTTCGGTTGCATTCAAATGATCGGCACTTACAATTCAAATCGGCCGGCACCAATGACGGTGAGATCGATTAGCATTATCGATCGCACTCAATCAGTTGTCTTTCACAATAAAACTTATTATGCACACACGTGTCATCGCCAATTTCTTCATTTGCTGCCGTCTACTATAATGCCAACAACATCAACACTGAATCGCTTCTCTAATTTGTGTTATTTATCATGATGTTTACAATGCTCTGTGCAATGTTTTCTTGTGTTTATTTCTGCTACTGATTGTGTCACACAGTCATGAACATCTGAAGATTATCAGAATTTGATCAATATTCCCGAAATCAAAAATTTATTGAAATATCAGCTCAATAACAATGAAGCGTGTAATGAACGATACAAGAAAAAAGCTACTCATAAATATTTGTGTTTACATCGCATTTTCCAGTCAACGCAAAGCAAGCATTTTCAGGCATCGAATCATATGTTGTTCAGTGAAGTGAAGTAGCGGCAGTGGTTGCAATATGATGTGCTGTATATAAATTTTTCATTATTCCACTCATCGTTGGAAGGAATACCAAATATTCATTATTGGTATTATTGCAAAGAAAACATATCCCTGAATACCTCCATTGATGGCGTTGATGAAGTGTACATTGAAAATGGGTTCTGTGATTTATATCGTGTTAATTTTATTGCTGATGTTAATCGATTCGTTGCTATGTTTTGCTCATGATATAAACCATGAGCAACTTCCTATCGATAAATCGGCCCTCAGGTTACTTGATTTCTTGTTTTTCTTATCCTTAATTGTTTGATGTTATTTGTGATCAGTTTAAGTTTTTGATATGCAAATGCAACACTCTTAAACTGATGATATCGAAACTGTGGGTGTGATTACTGTTGTGTAAAAAGCTTCAATGCATAAGTTTGTATGATTTCGTGGAATACTGAACGTTGTAAAATCGGTTAGAATGGTTTTATGAATGACTGAAAATTTTGATGTTTTCTTCCGGAATGTTTTTTGGAAAATCATCAGACTGGTGCAAACAAAATTATCGTTTTGTTAGTGATTTGATGAAGTGAGAAATACTCAAGTGGAAATGTTTTTGTGCAGGGCTCAAGCAAAAGAGATGTTTATGCATGGATACAATTCGTATATGAAGTATGCATATCCACATGATGAATTGATGCCGTTAACTTGTCGAGGTCGTGCCAGAGGAATCACTCCGAGCAGAGGTGACGTTGACGATTGCTTGGGAAAGTCAGTTGATCTCTTCTTTTATTTCTATTGACATCATCAGAAATGATTCTCCTCCATGGCATCCTGTTAAGGATTATTTTTAAATAAACATTTCTTGATGGTTATTTGAAGTACTGATTTTCACGATTTGTGTTAAAGTATGAACATTTGCTAAATTTTAAAAATAACGATAATAAGCAAACTATTGCAATGTTGCAGGAAAGTAAAGGTAATGATTGCAAGCATTATAATAATAGCAACAATAATAACACTAATACTGATGCTAGTACTAATACCAATACAAATACAATACTAGTAGCAATTGTTATCGTTAATAAGAATGTGACAGTTTTTCGTTGACATTGGTCGATACGTTGGATACATTGGTGGTAGTTGGTGAACTGGATGAGTTTGAGCGTGCAGTGCGACTGGTGGTTAATAATGTGCGCTTCGATTCGAATTTAGTTGTATCCGTCTTTGAGACTAACATTCGAATGGTTGGCGGTTTATTATCAGGTTATTTATTAGTTGTTGTTTTGATAATTCGAAGATGTCTTTCGAAATTTAGTTTAGGGATTTAAATGGTTAAGTGTTGAGTCAACTGTTCTGTTACTTTTAATTTTGCATCGATATTTTCAGCGAAGAACTCTTATGATTTGTAATGAATAATTCATTACAGCACATTTTTTGGCGAAGTTGGTGCAATCACAGGATAAAGGTCGTTTAATTTGGTATTCAAATCAGATGTTAGATATGGCCGTAAGCCTTGCCGATCGTCTTCTACCTGCGTTCAACACAACCAGCGGATTACCTTATTCAAGGGTATTCATTGTTGATATGTGAACACTATATAGTCGCATTAAATATACCGTCAATGAATGCTTGATTAAATGTTAACTTACAATTAGGTGGATTCAATGAAAAGTGAATAGTGTAGTATTTCAGATAAATCTACGATATGGAATGTTGAGTTATTTGCGCGAACAACGTGATACGTGTACGGCGTGCGGTGGCACGATGCTGCTGGAATTCGCGACGTTGAGTCGTCTTACTGGCAATAAGGTATACGAGCAGAAGGCGCGAAAGGCGATGGATTTTCTTTGGTCACAAAGAAATCGTGCTTCGAATCTGATGGGAACCGTGCTGAATGTACATTCCGGTGATTGGGTCAGAAGAGGTTCATTCTTATTTCAATTTTAGACTGTTGTAACTGTTTGATGTGTTCGCAGTTCAGAGATTATATTCTGATTGAATGAGAACATCGATAATGTGATCGTTTGCAGATGCGGGTATCGGCGCAGGAATTGATTCCTATTATGAATATTGTTTGAAAACTTATATTTTGCTTGGTGACGATGACTATTTATACCGTTTCAACAAGGTATTATTCATCTGTCTATTCATTCGTTTTCGTCGTGTAAATTTTCTTTCAAGAAAACGACTCGTTCGATGGATAATTGCTTGAGTTCATATGAGTTAAGTGTATTACAAAGAGTGAAAACACTGTTAATAATTTGAATGTTGAAGCATTATGATGCGATTATGCGTTATATAAACAAGGGACCAATGTTCATCGATGTACATATGCATAAACCAACAGTTGCTTCGAGGTCATTCATGGATGCTCTGCTAGCGTTTTGGCCTGCACTTCAAGTACTGAAAGGCGATTTGAAATCAGCGATTGAGTTTCATGAAACTCTTCATCAAGTCATTAAGGTCAGCGCTTTCACTCTTCCTTTCATTTCAGACTACCGTCAATATGTCTTTCCTAGACTCTGTGCATGAAATAATAGTTATTCAGATTTATTCATTGTGACATGCACATTTTCTCTGTCAATTTTTACCTTTTGATTATTGTTTTCGATAATTTCAGTGGTTGTGAGTATGATTATACATCATCTTCGCAAAATATTTTATAGCAGTTGCTGTGCAAAATATTATTTCAGCAAAATAAGGGATCCATCTAATTTGTGCTGAGGTTTCAGAAACACAGATTTTTGCCAGAGGCTTTTACTCATGATCTGCAAATTCATTGGGCGCAATACCCGTTGAGACCCGAATTCATTGAAAGTACTTACATGTTGTATAGGGCCACCAAAGACCCACATTATCTTCGTGTTGCGAAAAATGTTAGTTGTTTTGTTGGTTTTATCTTAATTATTGTTTTGTTCATGGATGCAATTTGTTTAAACGAGTGAAGTGTGAATGAATTAATGCGTCTTTTCATTCAGGTGATGGATAGTTTAAATGAGTTGGTGCGTGTGGATTGTGGCTTTGCGGGTGTGAGAGACATACGAACAATGAGTCACGAGGACAGGTTCGAGTCCTACCTTTACACTTATTCTTTATATTAGACTCCATGTAACTTTGTTAGTGTTTCCTTATCGTCGCTTTTGCAGATGCATTCGTGTGAATATTTGCAAATGAAAATGTTTTGAATGATATTACTAAAAGTTTTCAGGATGGATTCATATGTTTTAGCTGAAACATTTAAATACCTTTACATGATATTCTCTGAGCCGTCTGATTTAATCTTCGATCCGGATAATTACGTCCTTACCACCGAAGCGCATTTCTTACCGTTGTCTATCGGTGATATTGATGATGAGGTGAGAAGTATTGCTGTAATGACATTATTACATTTTACGTTTATTTATGCATACAATATTGTGGTAACACCTTGTTAAATTGTCTTCTGTCGCTTGATTTTTTATTTACGCATTGTATGTTTGCATCGGAGTTGACTTTGTTTAGTGCTGTTATTGAGCCGTAGTGCTGTTCATCACCACCTTATAAGTAGTCGTAATGAATTTTGATGGTTTCAGCTGCCTCGTCGTGTTTTAATAGACCCAGACGAATTGCTGCAAGAAAAAGATATGGCTGATAATGAAAGGAAGTACCGTTCGGCATGTCCAAATATTGTTGATTATTCTTCGTCAGAACAGTTGACAAATTATGCGAATGCGCTACGATCTAATATACGTGCCATTATGTCACAGATTGTAAAACAGAGTGATGGCGCACAACAGTCTTCGAGCACTTGCCCACAACCGTTTGTGCATTTGATCTTTATTGTTCAATTATTCTTATGAATGAATTTCGTTTCCGAATTCAGAATCTGATGAAACTGATAAACATTCTTCTTGCAATTTCAGTGATTATAGGCGACAAATTCTGTTGCATATGAAATTGTTTTTTACGATTTGTCTTATAAAATTGTTTCATCGTTTGTGAACACATAATCATATCAGTCCCAAGAAAGCAATTTGTAACTGCAGATCAGAACGCCTCAGAGCATGGGCATTCAGTTCGTCGAATAGTGAACACGTTCGTCAACTGAATCAAATGGGTATTCAAGTGCAGATACAGGCTGACGGTCGTCTTCATCTATTGCACACCACCTCTGAGGTTCGTTTAAGTTGGATTTGATTAATTTATCAATCAGTGGTTCGATTTTATTGAAGTTTTGTCAGTTGATATCATCCGTTTCAAAACTTTAGTCTAGCGGAGTGAACAACTTGTACTTTGAGTATTTACTGATGTTATTGTGAACTCTCCAGCTCACGATATTATCACATCTAATCTCAGCTGATTTCTGTTATTTATGAATTTTGGTTCATTGATATTATTTGTTTTGTCTTTTCACTATTACTTTCTTCTGCAGAGAATATAATCGTTAACTGCATTAGGCGTTTAAGCAGCGTCTTCTTGAAACAATTAGAGCTTATGTTATAAACAATGTAATTGAAGTGTGGAATTAGGGAAATCATCATGAAAGCAAGAAAATAATTTCTGCCTGTTGATAACACATGAACAGTTGATTTGGATACAGTCAACGAGTGTACTTCTAACTATTTGATCGATTTCAGTACATCTTTATATCATTATTCCTGTGAAAGATTGAAAAATCGTTCAAGAAGTTTTACAGAATAGTAACACCTGAATTGTCGAAACATTCAGTTTATAGGCAATCGTTGCGCAAATTAGCCATCAAGAAGAAATGCTCATTTAAAATGCTTGAAGTCATTACCTTTACTTTCCTGCAACATTGTATATAGGTTTCAAAATACAAAGTCAAGATTTACACTAATTGTAAATGTCCAATAATCGACCTGTTCAGTGCAGTATTCAGCCCGACTCCACCCTGAAATGCTGTTATTATCGCAATCAATTGATATTTTATTTTTGATCAGATACTTTGAATGATTTATGTTGACAGTGAAATATGTGTAATTAATTGGAATGTTGTTATAAGCTGTCAGCTAATATTCTCTAAATATATAAGACATTTTTGTTTCAGCTGACTAAGACTTAAATTTGATTTCAGCCTTGATGCATTAAAATGTTTCAGATTGGGACAATGCAGTTGTTGTGCTCAATATCTCCTTTATAATACCCATTTAGTATAGGCGTTTTTTCAGGGTGGAGTGGGTGATATAAGTGAAGAGGAGATATTCGCATTACAATGTGTATTGGATGCAGCATATAAGAAGAATAATGAGTACGATAGATTATTGACGAAATATGACCATTTTGGAACATTGCTTAATTGGTTATCATTATCGATGCTACCCACAAATCAGACAATTACATCTGAGATGATTTCCATCTTCATGTTGATCATCCTTTTATGGATGGCACTAATGATTAGCAGTGCTTTTGTGATTTGTTTAGCTACACTCTTATACAGATGCGTTATCCGCAATTTTCACATCGCTTATAACACAACATCAAGCAATAGCAGCCTAACTAATACGCATAACAGCACCATCAGCACTGTCACCAATAAACAACATCAAGACTGACAACTGCGCACATTGCTTCGTTCAACTCACTCTAACTCTAAGTCAGTATTCTTCGTCTACTGCCTTTTTATTTATGCATCTAACAATAAATTTGTTGTGCTTTCATACTATAAGACCTAGGCATCCTTGCCTTGAGTGTGCGTTTGAAATCAGATGATTGTTTGCGCCAATCTCATGATTCCAATGTGACGTCTCAAAGATGCCATAGAACAAGCAAACTTCTCTGCGTCATAAAAAGTTAATTGCAAGCAAAGATAGGATCTTTCACCATCAAATTTCAACGATTCTTGCTCTGCTTTATCATAAAGCTTAACATACTCGAGTGGTACGTTTGCTGTCCACAAACAACTCTAATCCTCGACATAGTATTGAGCTCTTATTTTGAGTGCTTAATAAGGTCAACGATTGGAATTGTCTCGTGGAACATGAATAATCGTGAGGCCTAATAGCACTTTTAATCGTTCGTTCACTTCACTGCATATTGCTCATCTTCACTGCGTTATTCTGAAACAAATTACATTTCATTTATTTCATCAAATTTGTACAATTTATATATTCAAAATGTGATACATTCATCATGTGAAATGATTAATTCTAGAATTGTTTATGTAATAATTCAATTTAAATTTTATTATATTTTGTGATTAGAACATTTACATTCAGCAGTTATTTCATCATTATTATTTGGTCATATCGAAGAATCTCGTTCTCTTGATCAGAGACGGTCTTTTTTCTGTTGTCCAATTTACATCCATTCGAATATTTCTTCTCTTTGCTTCAATGATAATTTTGGATGAAATTCTCTAATGAATGAAAGAATGTTTGTGATACGCCTTCTTTCCATTCGCATTTGCGAGTATAATTTTGAATTGATTATCAAAAATTCTTCATCCGAGATCTGTGATTGTTCGTTTTCATTTTGTTGCACTGAAAAGTGTCCATGAAGATAAAGCGTGCAGTCAAAAAAGCTTCTTTTGCGATGTAAACAATTCAGTAGGTGGAATGAAGTTGTATTTGTATCATTTGAATGAAATCATCAAGCTCTTAACGTAATTCATCTGACTAATTAGTAAAATTTATCGGATGCATTCATTCCCTTCTTATTTAAGCTCGTTCAGTTTTTTTGACGTCCCTTAGTGATTATTCAGTGAAATTGATTTGTAGTTTTTCAAAGAATAAGGAAACGATTCCAGTACAAAAATTGATGCGCCAGAAGTCGTCTCTTAAATTTGCAATTAAATTGTGTGATTATGAATTGATATTCAATTATATTGAACTGAATCATTATTGATAGTTAACCGAAGAAGTTATTTCGACTTCCTTAAGTATCAACTGAGCAGTAAATAACAAGGGATTCAAGTAAATAAGGCATTTTTGTGAGTTAAACTGAACCAGTTGGGTGAATCAATCCATCGAGCTTCCATCAGTTGTCACTGTGACGATAAACTGTTTTCTTGAATGCACTCAGCGAGTGCATTCGCATGCTTGATACATGCTCAAGCCGGGACATAATTCAGGCACTTTCCCCTCAATGGGCTACTATGGGTATGGAGTTCATGCAAGAGATGATGCAAATGGTTTCGCATTTCGAAAAAGATGAATTCGGTTCGTATTTGCATTTTGTCGATTCGTCTTACAATCAAAAAATGCTTTGTTTTGTTTCTTCTTCGTTTAATATGCATTCAATTGTTGGCGTATTCATAAATGTCAGGTGCTGATTCATTCAAATCACTCTCAATTACGTGCTCAATATACTCAATTACTTCGTTCAGTAACAACGAACTGTAACATTTTGAAGGTGCGATTAGAATTGAACGTGTCGTACAGATTCTCTCGTATCCATCGTTTGGTTATGTAAACTTCATCGCTGCACCCGCTCAGTTTGGTTCAGATCTTCACGATAGACAGGTTCCGTTGATTGATTCGTTTGAGCGTTGATCATCAATCATTCGTACACATCACTGAGAAATCAGTGCATTCGTTCAATTGATAAGTGCCTGATTGCCAATAAAGTGGTATTGCAACGAATAAATCTCTAAAAGCATTCAATGCAGGTGGATGGCGAAGTGCGTATTGCAGTGCCATCAAAAGGTTGTTCGACAATAACCAATTCACCAACGCTGAAGGGTCGTATCGCAGTTGTTTACAGACATGAATGCATGTTCCAAGAAAAGGCACGCTTCGTTCAAAAAGCTGGTGCCATCGCGCTCATCATCGTTGGTAATCCTCTGCTCTATTTTGAGTGCATTCAACTTATTGCTATTGCTCTGACAGGATCTCGTCAGAACTGCATATTTTTATGCATCTTTTTTTCCTGAAGAAGGCGACCATCCACTCCAGCTACACTGTTTTTCCAATTTGTATCTTTGAGAATGTGTGCATCTTTTAATTTCTACATCCTCATGATANAGCTACACTGTTTTTCCAATTTGTATCTTTGAGAATGTGTGCATCTTTTAATTTCTACATCCTCATGATAATTAACAAAGAAACTGTTTTATCATTCTCGAAAATTTGCTTATTGATTAGAATACATTTGATGTGGTGTTTAAATCCATACACATGGTGTTAAATTGTGATGAATTTATTATTGATCAGTTTATAGCATTTGGAAATGTCATAACTGATTGTTTGAAGATAACGTAGCTGGAAGCAGTATCGAAACATCGCCGCCATTCGCAATGTCTGGCGATACGAGTGTTGAGGATGACATAAACATACCGGTTGTTTTCCTGTTCGATAAGGAAGGTTCTTCGTTGATTGAACATGTGAAGAAATATCCTGGATCAACAGTTCGTATTTCGGATCGCTTAACGAATCCATCGATCATTATCGAGCAATTCTTCAAGCATCATCACTTCGCCAGGATTACTCCGCATCCTTCCTCCGAGTATATTGAGGTTAGAATTGAATAGTGTCGATGTTTTTCGGTTTATTCTTTAATTGATTGGTAATTTGATTTGA